TAACTTGTTTTTATTTCGTGTTTATAAACGTAAACTCATGTATAATTAGTTTCAATTATATTCCTGTACTTGTAAAAGATTTTCATTTAAAATATACAAAACAATCTCAAGTAAGCCTGACGTTATTTAGATGATAATATATAATTATTAATCGTGTTAGTCATTATACTCTATAAAGCATTATTATTTGTCTCTTGTGCCTTAGATGTCTTATTAAGGGATTTGGATTTACTACATATAAAACAGAACGTACTTATAAAACGAAACAGATAACAAAAAAATAATAATTTGAATATAGTTAACAACACTTGTTATTTAAAATATTCAGAAAACTTATATATTGAAATCATTACTAAGACTCAATAACATTAAATTTTTAATTCATATTATTTCATACAATACTAGCTTTTCTTTGCCCGCGTTAGTTTCATAATTAGAAATATATAGCTGACCAGACGAACTGTTTTGATTTAGAGTCAGTAAATAAACAGATTTGAATTCTATTAGCAATTTTTTATTTCAATTGAATGCAAAAGTATGCTATGTTCGTCTCCCGATTTCCAGCACAATCCTCAAAACCGTTTTTGAGTTATAAATGTTGTAACTAATTGTATCTTCTTTTATATATAGAGAAAGAATAATAAATGTATTAATGTCTGTATAATCCTCGGAGTTTATTACCTTTCTAAAGAAGTCAAATGTATGTGTAAACATCATTACTTGTAGACTAACCCCGTAACATGTCGTTTTCACAAACCTCTCAAATCCCTGATGAATGAAATCCTTTCACTGTACTATATTATAGTATATATCTTACTAGAGGTACACCACTCGTACTACAACTACTGATATATTTAAACATGATACATATAATTAAAATTTGTTATTTCAAGAGCATTAGTAAATTCTGTCAGTCCGAATTTATAATCAGAGCGAGCGAACTAATGTCGACTTCAAAAACTGCTCATGAATATTTATGTCGGAGGTGTACCTGTACGTGTACATGTGTGTGTGTGTGTGTGTGTGTGTGTGTTGTGATAATCCTCTGTGCTATGTGTCGTGTGTGTCGTGCGCTCGGTTTGCGGAGCTCCATGAATATTCAGTTACTAAATGCACAGCGATACCGACGCGATGCTCTTTTACTAAATATGCGGTTTAATTTTTTAGTTAATATTCAGTCAGCTAAGTGTTTTATCTTAAGCAGCGAAGACTCGTGAGGATGGAGAGTTGTATCAAACAAAAAGCTCTTAACGATATTAATGAAGTAACTTTCGATATTAATATTATGTTTATTCCTTAACAATGATTAAAAAGAACTTTCGATTAGTGATAGAAGAACGCGTTCGTATTAAATAAACAAAACAAAGAGATTCCCATAAGGAAAAGTGCATCCAAAGTTAATAGCCACAGAAGTGTAATGTTCAGTTGTTACAGAGAACTTTACCCGCTTACTGTATGACAACACCACACCAGCAGACTGGGGTCATTGTGTTACCTGAAATAATAGAAATTAGATTGTTATAAATAGATAACATCAAGTATTTCATACACAATGTATAAAAACATACTAAATTATTTAATCATTGAAAAAATTCCATCGAAATTGAAACAGTCACATAAGAAGGTCTTTATGTCTATGTGCACGTTACAATTGTTCAAACTTGTTTTGTTGTTCAAAATTGAATAATTGTACAATCTTGTTCTATCCAACGTTTTATAATAACTGTAACTCAATATATGTTACAGAGTGACACAATATCACAAGTCATATACGAATCATTTTCTCGTCACTGAACTGAGATGTAATATAGTCACTTAGTGAATAAATATCAACTGAATTGAACGTGTGACATGTTCTGGTGAGACAGATATGGTGTACAATAAAGAACTGTCAGGGAATGGGGACTAGGGACCGACACACACACACACACACACACACACACACACACATACACACGACTCAGCTGAAAAAGGATGAGTCGATAAATGTTAACACGACTTTAATAATGATGGTATAGAGGCGACGCTCTCAATACTACCAACAGAGACATTGGACAACTGTTGTAATGACGCTAACGGATTTTATATATTGTAATCGAACTAGAAGATATTATGTTCGTTCCATCACCTGTATGGTATTTGTAGTTTACAGTTGTCTGTGTGAGTGACAAGATAATCTTGTGTGTGTGTGTGTGTTATTTTTTACATGTGAAAGGGGAGGACTCTTCATGGATGGATTGTGTATGATTTGTTTTATATAACATAATTTTTTTTTTATTTGATACCCGGAGTAGAAAATATAATAGTAAAAATATTAAAATGTAATTGGCGTTAAAACATCCGTTTACAATGTAATTAGACAGGATCGGTTAAAGCCCGTGACGGACAAATGAGCGCCGCTGTAGGAGAGGGTGAGAGGGTGAGGGGTGAGGGGGTGAGAGGGTGAGGCAGTGTAGTCAGCGGGCGAGGGGGATGGTAAAAGCTTCAATTAATCCATGACTGCAACGCGCTATTTGTTTTACAGAACACGAGTTGATAACTTGCGAAACTTACTTGGTCATGAATAATTTGAGACCGGTCGGAACACGTGTACACACATACAACGAGTATATATATAACAAAACAGTTTCAAGGAGAGATATTCATTACACTCGTTTCATGTTAAAGAGTTTGATAAGTTTTCAAGTGAAAACTTCATTTTACATCTCCCCTCTCCTCACACTGTAGCTTCACACGTATTCAATAATTTCGGTTAGAATTTGCGGAGAGGGTCTGACAATAGGCCGTGAAACAAAGACATAGTCTGTAAGCTGATGAAATTGTGTCGGCTGCTCTGAAACAATCTGCTACAACCTGCGAGCGACCAGTGTGTGGTACAGCCTGCCGACACTACGACACATGAATACACGACGGCTATGTGTGACACGGAGATACAAGCATTGGTACATAAAGAGTGAGACATGTACTGTTAAAAATAATTAATGAAATAAAAAGACGTCTTTTATAAAAATACAGAAACAAACATTCATCATTATAGTTACATAAATTAAGCAACCTATTATATTTTGGTTCCGAAAGCGACGTCATATTACGAGAGAAAAATAAATTGTATACCCGAAAAAACCTGACTTACTATAAATAATCACAATTTTCCACACAATTTCAAACGTAGACCGAAATTACCAGAACTCGAGATAAAATCAGAGGATGTCCAAATTGTAAGGAAACGCCGCAATGCGAAATACAGGTAGAGAGAAATTTAACATGAAAAAAATGTAAGATCAAGAGAAAAGAGACTTTGACGGAGTGAAGGAATGAAATCAGGCTTTATACCTCGTCTGTGAGATGACGACGGAACAACTGACACGAAAAACAAGATGTTAGATAAAGGACACAAGGGGTACTGATGACAGCCAGGTAGGAATTGGAAAATGAACACGTTGAATAACATCACTTGACTGGAATGAAGTGAATCATTCAGATATAATAGAGAGAATCAGAAATAATCTGTGTCCAAAGCCGCCTGGCTTCTTTGATATGCGACCGCCGCAAGCCGAGCTCTAATGTCGCCATATTTCATATCGAATTTGAGCGTGATTGTAACCGCGCGCCCGCCACCGAGACTACAGACTTGACTTTGGAACAAATTATTCGTCTGCTCCTGGGTGAATTCGAAACAAATTTACAATTTATATAAAAGGAAACATTTTTTTATTGTTAGGCCTACATCGGAGTTGCAGGATTTTCTTTTTATAATAATATCGTCTATAGAGAACAATAGTATTCTGGCCCCCTAAAATAAGAAGCCCCCCTCTCCCCCGCCCCAGGCCCACACCCCGGTACCTGATCCGCGCACCCCATGATTACTCGGTAACGTTAAAAAGCTTTCCTATAGCGTTTAATGGCCTCAAATTGCTTTTTTAAAATACTTGATACATTCTCACTATAGTATGTTTTTCGAATGTAGATGACAGTGTCTGTCTATATTAGTGTATACAATGTATATTATGTCAAACGACCGCTGACTTCTTTGTTCCTCTAAAGTCAATTTGAACGTGATAAGTGTGTTATTTGATTGGATCCACAAGACGCGTGTAACATACAAACTCAGATATGAGACAATGAAGTCGACCACACAAAGCATCGATATGATTCTGATATCAGTTGGCATTCATTATGTTGGTAGCGTTATATCTCCACATCAGACGGTGCTTCCGACCGACGTCTTCGCTGACTTGTGACAACTGTTAAGGTATACACGATCTGATAATTTGAAAACTTGAGAGGAAATTAAGTTTAATGTGATATAAACAACGTTAACAGAACACTACCGCATTAAATCAATAAGAGAACCGTGGAAAGAATATCACATGAGGATTGAATAGATTAAAAAGAAAACTGTAGCATTATAATATGTGTATTATATAAATGACCTTTAAAGTTACAAACTTTAGATAATTCTATAAAATCAGGAAAATATGGAGACAACAGATGTTGTATATGTGTTGGCGTCGAGTCAAAGAAGCGATCATCGTGTTTATTAAATTTAATATCAATTTATATTGTATGTGAGCGTTCTCAAATAACTGGCAATCTTTTGTTCTTTATACTGTCTGACTTTAGATGAAATACGAAAGTCTTCTTTGACCTATACAATCTAACAATCATATAAAATGTTCTTTCTATAAACGAGTATATTAGATGTCTATACATGCTCGTAAGGCAGACGGTTCATGTATGTGACATTTATGATTGGTGTCGTTTAAATATAAAGATTCCTTTCCCAACCGAGTGACCAGTAAGAAGCTATTTCACGACCGCCCTCAATAAATGTTATCTATTTTATGAACACTAAACGCAAAGAAAAAAACTTTTAACATCCTCTGAATATAATTTCAAGTTTTCTCGTAAAAAACCGAAAGAATAATTTTAGTACAGAACATAAATATAATGCTGCAAAGAAAAGGAAAGTAAAGGAATAAAATGAAATTGAGAATGAATTATTCAAATGGACTTGTGAGGTTTGGATGACAACAGCTGGTGAGTTGGAGTGACGTCAGTTTGAGATGAGGCGGAGATGAGGTGAGGTGAGGTGAGGTGAGGTGAGGTGAGGTGAGGTGAGGTGAGGTGAGGTGAGGTGAGGTGAGCAGCCGTGCGAAGACTTCCATCTCAGCATTTAATCGAATGGAACAATGCCTTCTGGATTTATTGTGAATGGTAAAACGTGCGTCACATCAATCAACAGATAATACATTTGTTTGCTTTCTATATCTTTAACATAATTTTAACCGTATTTTTTTAATAGCACATAGTATGTACATAACAATATATTAAATTGTTCAAACATCGTTGATAGACCTTATCAATAATAAAAACCAATGTGATACTCAAACGTGTCATAAAGATACAACTATTTTCCAGTAACAACTTGTTACATCTCGAAAATATGATTCAGCAGCTTTATGAGAAAAGACAGAGTCATATAAGGTAGAAAACTGGAAATAGGGAACAGGAAAAATACGTTCCGATATGAAGTAGAAATGATTGTACAAAATATAACACTTCCGTGCAGGAAACAAAAACGAAATAAGAGCGTGACATACATCCCGAAACAAAGAGCAATAAATGTGAAACGACATTTTGTAAAACATTGCATCGACTGTCATCCGTGCAAAATAATTCCGCCGCGTCAGGCTCGGATAGGGAGTGATGGATTGAATGTTGTACCGAGATGTGGGGACCGACGGGCGGCAGGTCTATGCGGCGTGTGGATACAACAATGGGTGGATAGGCACAAATGTTAACATTGACTAGTAGTGCAGCGAGATACGAGTATGTGTACACGGCGAAAAGGTACGGTAACAGTAAAATTAACTTGATGGACATACGCGGAACGACGTTATGATAGTATTATATATATATGTTAAGACATACGACAAGGTTACGAGTATATTATTAAAAAAACACGGCATAGAACAACGATATAACATTTAGAATAAGTCGTCTTCTTTTGAAGCAGAGAGCAGAAAAAAACTTTAAAAAACTCATCATGATAAAACTGTTTCATTATGTGAGTGCAGCGGTCGACGCTATACGATTTTTTTTAGCCATTAGCAACAATCCACATCAAGACCACGGGCGCTTAATAAAAACCATTTAAAATACATATTTTAAGTTTGTAGGACGGCGCTACTTTTAAAAGGATTGGCTTTTAGCACATTAAAAAGTAAGCGTGTATATAACGACAGACGATGATCGCCCTTTTAAGAACATGAAAGGAGTTTCGATCTTAACTCATACAAAGAAATACAAAGAATATCGGATTACATATCTTCAAAGATTATCAAGTTATTTATCGCGCATGAATTTATTGAACAGGGAAATCGGAAACCGATAGCAGTCATGCAAAAGACAATCCCTGTAGTTCACAACACAAACTTACGCTGTTTGTTCTAATTCAAAGATAACGATCGGGAAACTTTGACGAGAAACGACTGGAACATGCGAGCATTAATTGGAGCACGAGCTCGCATACAACATAATTGAACCAGCTCTCATTGGTATTCAAAGGGAAAAAAACTGTACGAGCTGCAGTAAAAATAGAAATAGACGTAAACGGTGATAGGACGCCTCCAGCTGACCTGGCGGATCCAGCATTATTAAATCAGACGCGGGATTAATGTGGCCGCGGGCTCTGAATAACAATTGGATGATTTTATTGGTTGACGCTCAGCTGGAGCGGAGTCTCCCCTCGGGACCACCACCACGTACCGATCACAAAACTTTCTTATAACATTTATCTTATAAATCACTCCGCGATTGGAAATATTGGAAACATTCGATAATACATTTTATACATATTAATACTTGATACTCGCGTTATCCAAATGTTCCCAACGTACACAATCCTCTAATGAGTGTTTCATAATTTTTTTTTATTCACAAACTTCTAAACCATCGAAAGATTTGAGATGTAAATGTTTAAATGAAATCTAGACTTTTGTAATAAACGTTTAAACTTCCCCGAGCCGCGCCGGTCTGCTCTGAATCCTAAATAAGGTTTAAATGACAACGTACAGATGTTTGAGAGCCGCGCGCGATGTACGACCCTCCTGAAATTAAACAAAATTACCAAAACGTCTCCGAACATTTCATTTGAATAAGACATCGACCCGCCCGACCCTTACTTCTTACAAACTTGAAAAACTGCACGATATTATTTATTTTAAACACAAAACAGGCACAGAGATGTACTGGAAACATTTTTACCGCTAATGAGCGATATCTTCTAGGTAACCCTTGAGTTATAGCCAGGATCCCGCTAATAACGTATTATACGATTTACTTCAACGAGAAGGAAGAGTACAGTGCAGGATATACTCGTACTGTGGTAGATACTCGATAAGAATAAGATTTTACCATAAGACGTCTGGGACAGCTCACCAAAGAGACAGGAGGAATCAGATGAAGGTAATGACTTGCTAAAATGTGTACGTTTAAAAAATCTGACGAAACGAGCGCTTTGTGAACGAGTAGGAGGGTCACAGAGTAGTGAAAGGAGCAGTTCATGTTTACGACATTTGATAGAATTTGGGGGAGGTAAGGTAGAGGGGAATAGAATTTTCAAACATACAATTTTCGGTTCACTGTAAAACCCAGCATGTAAATAAAGGCCAGTACAATGGTGGTAGTAGCGGCTGTTCATCAATACTTCAAGATAAATATTATTTCTAATATTAATTTTAAAATATTCCATTTATTGATTGGTTGCTGTAAAGTAGTTTTATTGAATTTTCCAAATCGAGATGCAACTAAAGAAAACATTCGACTAAAAATTCATACTTTCCAGGAAAACGTTAAGTTTTACAAATTTTCCAATTTGACAAAGTTTCATAAGAGCTCGCGGAGTTCGCATACCGTCTTAAAATATTCGTAAAGTTTTCTTGACATGTACCATATTCATTTGCATTCATTTGTCAGTTTTGTAAATTCTTTAAATACGTGGAGTCGTTCCCAGTATATAACTGTTCCTCGACTTCTTGCTTGATGTTATATTTTAATTTCATTTTCATATCTTTGACATAATATAACAACAACCGTATGTAGTCGACGGAGCTCTTTTAGAACATGTTATTTTATTGAGACATCACATTCCTCTTCAGTATGGTTCAGTATAGTATTTTGAATCTAGTGAAAAACATTCTATATATGATAATACATTTAAATGAAACTAATATTTTCGGATGTACTACACGATTTTTTATTTTTGTGAAAAACTACATACTCCCGACGTTTCGGCTACGTTTTACTTTTTAATGGATACGAAAAAAATTAATTAATATTTCAAAAAATATTTTCTTCTTAAATTATAACAAACCTTGAAATAATCAGCTACCGTATTATATATAAAATACTTTAATACCTCTCTGAGTTAACATATATTTTTAATTTCAAACGAGTATACCGCAGATGCACACAGAGCCACAGCGAGTTGCAGCGCGGCGGTCCTCGTACACTAAAGACATACAACATAAATGTCAGTACACACGATGAGTTTATATTTTGAATAGTTCATGCATTAGTGAACCGTGCAGAATGAGGCCTCGCGGGTCAAAGGGTCCGCTCAGCATTTACATATAGAACGGAATAAACGCTTACATCACACACACACACCGCTCCGACGGCACACAAAACATTCCCTGAATTATACATTTTAAAATCTCTTTTTGGCAATCATATAAAATGTAAAGTTAGCGAGACTGAAGAGCTTGTTCATTGAATAGATGATAGCTGAGTTGAAGTTACATTAATACTAGTCATCAAAGTTGAGTTGAAGCTACTTTAATACTAGCCATCAAAGTATTTCAGGAGTCCAAACGTGTTATAATAAGTCAAGCAAATCGATGTCAGTGTCAACAGGAAGTTTTGGATCGTATTGACACTAGCAGTGATTACGAACTCACCAGAAACCGATTGAAGTCACTAAGGATATATCGTCAAAGGAATTAACAATCTACTGGCCGCGGTCACCGTAACGAAGCCGCAGTAGACGTCTTGTATACATATATAAAGTTTCTGAAACAAGAATTCAATGTGTTTTGGAGCTGTCGACTATTGTTTAGTGTACAATGAGTCTGGTTCAGCTCCCGTTCCTCGGTGATCAATCACGGGTGTGTTGAGTGTTGAGTTGTTCAAGTTCATTATAAACTAACGTGTTTAGGTTTAGAGATGATTTATTTTCCCATTAAGAACAAAGTTCACTTACATAGGAAACTTAAACTAGCAACATAACAATAAACATTCATAAAGTTAAAGTTAATGGTGACCTTATTTATACAAACATTCAAACACAATTACAAAGTTTGACAGTACGTTTTCATTCAGCCTTAAATTTCAAAAAAAGATTTGTCGTTAAATACTTCTTTCGGCAGATCACTGTACATCAGCGCTCCCTCAAACTGTATAGTCCCGTTAACACAATGTTTAGATCTAGACTTAGGTATTAAGTTAGGTATTACTTTGTAATTTATGTATATATTTTTTTATATTGATGCATTATAATTCGTCAATTTTGCCCAATTTGACTAAACTTCTAACATTAGCATAAAAGAATTTAAAAGAAGAGGAGGTCATTGTAACCGAGCCATAATCATGATTCATGAGTAATCTGGTAAGTGACTGATTCATTTCGTGGTGGTGTTAAAGCCACTATTTGGCGTTTTTTGGAATAAATTTTGTAATTTTTGGTATTCCGTCAAAATATTTTATCCTTAAGTCGGACTCGCCATTTTGCTTACGCGCCTCAAGCTCATTCTTTAAATTTTGTAAATATATATTGAGTCGGAGTTTGATCCCAAAACATACGAATACTTTTGTTTGTCGTTAATGTACGGTTTCTTAATATACAGTTCGCAGTGTCCTGACTATCAAAACATACCTTTATGTTGCGGTTTTTACCCGGGGTGTATTTGCCTAGTCGAAAAATTTTATTTGGTTTTGGGCAGTTTTCATAAACGCTTGTAATAATTTTAACTACTTCCTCCATATCATATTTATTTCTGTTTTGAGAATTTTTATCGTTTAATTCAGGTATACCCGCAAGTACGATATTTTTCTGCCGATTGCAACGATCTTGTATTTCTAGCATAAGGTCTTCGTTATGTTTCAGATCATAACTTAACGAAATTATCGTTCCGTTA